AGGGGGGGGGGGTGTTTTTGCATTTTGGCGGGAAATTTGAAGGGATTTGGCGGGAAAATTCGGGGTTTTCCCCGGATTTCCGGGACCGGGATGGATTTTGAGGGAATTCCGGGGGATTTTCCCTAAAATTTGGGTTTTTTTCCTTCAATTTCGGGGTTTTTCCCTGGATTTTGGGGTTTTTTCCCTAAATTTGGGATTTTCCCTGGATTTGGGGTTTTTTTCCTTAAATTTTGGGGTTTTTCCCTGGATTTTGGGGAAAATTTGGGGATTTTGGGTGGAATTTCCGGGAATTTTTCCAGGATTTGGGGTTTTTTCCCCTAAATTTGAGATTTTTCCCTGGACTTGGGAGGAAATTTTGGAATTTCGGGAAAACTTGCAGGATTTCGGCGTCTTTTTTTCCTGAAATTTGGGATTTTTCCCTGAATTTTGCGGGAGATTTTGGAACTTTGGGGTGAATTTTGGGAAATTTTCCCGGATTTTGGGGGTTTTCCCTGGATTTTGAAATCCTGGGCGGATTTCGGGGAGGATTTCAGGGAATTTCGCGAAAATTTTGGGATTTCTCCTTAAATTGCGAACCCTTTTTCCCCCCAAAAAACCTTGAAAACTTCCCAAAAATTTTGGGATTTTCCCCTGGAATTCGGGATTCCCGGGGAGGGGGGGGGGAGGATTTTGGGCAAATTTGGGTCAAAATCGGGAATTTTGAGTCAAATTTATTCCGATTTTTCCTCCTTTTTTCCCCCAAATTTCGGGTTTGGTTTTTTCTTTTTTCCCCCCAAAATTTCGGGGTTTTTTCCCCAAAATTTGGGTTTTTTTGGGGAATTTTGGATTCCCGGCCGGATTTTGGGCTGAAATTCCCGAATTTTGGGGTTTTTTTGGCAGCTTTGGGCTCTCCCCGAGCCCCTCCGGGCCCGGCCCCCTCCGGGACCTCCCGGATTGGAGCTTCGCCGGTAACGGGGGAAAAAACGGGAATTTTGGGGGGAATTCGGGGGATTTCGGGAAAATTTGGGGAATTTTGGGGGAATTTGGGCAAATTTAGGGGATTTTGGGGGAATTTGGGGGAAAAAAATGGGAATTTTGGGGGGAAAAATTGGGAATTTTTGGGGGAATTTGGGAAAATTTGGGGAATTTGGGGGAAATTTGGGAATTTTTGGGGGAAAATAGGGAATTTTGAGGGATTTTGGGGAAATTTGGGGGAATTTTGGCAGTTTTGAGGATTCTGGGGATTTTTGGGTGGGGTTTGGGGTGAAAAATGGGAATTTTGGGGCGAAAAATGGGAATTTTGGGGGAAATTCGGGAAAATTTGAGAACTTTGGGAGATATTTTAAAAGTTTGGGGGAAATTTGGGAATTCTGGGGCAAAATCTGGGAATTTGGGGGAAAATTGGGAATTTGGGGGGGAAAATGTGGGAAATTTGAGGGAAAAACTGGGAAATTGGGCGGGGGAAAAAAAACGGGAATTTTGGCGGGAAAAGCGGGAGCTTTGGCGGGAAAAGCGGGAGCTTTGGCGGGAAAAGCGGGAACTTTGGCGGGAAAAGCGGGATTTTTTTGGGGGTTAAAAAGGGGGAATTTGGGAAATTCGGGGATTTTGGGAATTCTGGGATGCGGATCCGGCCCCTCCCCCCACCCCCTCCAGACGGGCGCCCCTCCCCCCCCTGGCGGGGGCAGCTCCGGCGGCTCCGGGAGCAGCGAGAGCTGGCGGTGAGTGACCAAAACCAGTTCAGACCAGTTCGGACCAGTTCGGACCGGTTCTGACCCAAAATCCCCCCCAAAAAAATCCCCCCAAAAATTCCCAAAATTTCCCAAAAAAATCAAAAAAAAAATCACCAAAATTTCCCCCAAAAATCCCCAAAATTTCCCCCAAAAAATCCCCAAAATTTCCCAAAAAATCCCCAAAAATCCCCAAAAAATCCCCAAAAATCCCCAAAAAATTCAAAAAAAAAATCCCCAAAAATTCCAAAAAAAATATTCCAAAAAAAATATTCAAAAAAAAATTCCCAAAAATTCTCCCGAAAAATCCCCAAAAAAATTTCCCCAAAAAAATCCCAAAAGTTCCCCCCAAAAATTCCCAATAAATTCTAAAAAAAAAAAAAAACCCCAAAAAATTCCCCAAAAAATCCCCCCAAAAAAATTTCCTAAAAGTTCCCAAAAATTCTCCCCCCCAAAAAAAAAATCCCCTAAAAATTAAAAAAAAAAAAAAAAAAATTCCCAAAATATTCCACAAAATATCCCCAAAAATTCCCCAAAAATTCCCCAAAAAAAATTCCTCAGAAATCCCCCAAAAATTCAAAAAAAAATCCCCCCAAATTTCCCAAAAAAATCCCAAAAATTTCCTCAAAAATCCCCAAAATTTCCCAAAAAAACGGCGAAAAATCCCCAATAAATTCCCAAAAAATTTCCCAAAACATCCCAAAAAAATCCCCAAAATTTCCCAAAAAAATCCAAAAAAAAATCCCCAAAATTTCCCAAAAAAATCCCCAAAATTCCCCAATAAATTCCCAAGAAATTTCGCAAAAAATCCCCAAAATTTCCAAAAAAATCCCAAAAAAATCCCCAAAATTTCCCAAAAAAATCCCCAAAATTCCCCAATAAATTCCCAAGAAATTTCGCAAAAAATCCCCAAAATTTCCAAAAAAATCCCAAAAAATCCCCCAAAATTTCCCAAAAAAAATAAAAAAAAAATCCCCAAAATTTCCCAAAAAAATCCCCAAAAATCCCCAATAAATTCCTAAAAGATTTCCCAAAAAATCCCCAAAATTTCCCAAAAAAATCCCCAAAAATCCCCAATAAATTCCTAAAAGATTTCCCAAAAAATCCCCAAAATTTCCCAAAAAAATCCCCAAAAATCCCCAATAAATTCCTAAAAGATTTCCCAAAAAATCCCCAAAATTTCCCAAAAAAATCCCCAAAAATCCCCAATAAATTCCTAAAAGATTTCCCAAAAAATCCCCAA